AAAAAAAAAAAAAAATTAGATAGCTAAGATTTAAACCAGGAGTGGGGACCCTTTTCATTTCGGAAGGCCCCATTAATTTAGCTGTAATCAAATAAGGCCACATTCAAAAAACTTCAATTAGATATACTTAACAATGTACACGGCTTTGCAAAAATCTGTTATGTACTTAATAATTTAAAAAAATGAAAACTGTTAATTTTCAAGTAACTAACCTGTAAATGACTTTGGTATTTCTGCTTTTTATTGGAAAGCATTTGCATATTTGGTTGCAGTATAGAGCTTCACAGTTTCAGGTGATCTGTTAGATGGGTATTGGTCATTGTGACATTAACAAGACCTTGACTTGGGTTAGGTAGGCGAATGTAGATTCATAGCAATAAAAGCAAGAAAACATTTTTTGGGCATGGTGCCGAGGCATGGGTGTTCTACCACTTTTGTCCAAATTTTAACCGGGTCTTTCTTAGCCTCAAATAATGACTTTAAAAGTCATCTACTGAGAGGTCAGTCAATTCTATCTGTAGTGCTTTAGTAATATCTACTAGGTGAATCTGAAATACTAATTTGAGTGTGATGTCACAATTCTCAAAGTCAGTGAACCTTTCATTATATTCTCCAACTAAAAGATCTATAACAGCTGTATATTCTTCAAGTGATTCACATATATCATCCTGCTAATCAGTGACCTTGGCTAACTGGGGAAAATGTTCATCTGCAATTTCCTTTCAAAGAAGTGTTTTCGAAATGCTTGGATTTTTTGCCACATATCATATATAGACTTAGTTTTACCTTGCAAAAATATTCAAGTCATTTTGATTTGACATGTCACACAGAGATGCTGCATTCCTATAGAAATCTTTTCAATAATTTACACTGCTAATTTTGTTCTTCATAAAATTTAACCATCTGTCCTCTTTTACCTTTGTTCTCACTTTAAAATGATGGGCAACGGCTTGGCACCTGTAGCTCAAGCAGCTAATGCACCAGCCATATACACCAGAGCTGGCAGGTTTGAATCCAGCCCGGGCTTGCCAAACAATGACGACTACAACCAAAAAATAGCTGGGCTTGTGGCGGGCACCTGTAATCCCAGCTACGTGGGAGGCTGAGGCAAGAGAATTGCTTAAGCCCAGGAGTTGGAGGTTGCTGTGAGCTGTGACACTACGATACTCTATGGTACTGTGACAATGGTGACACTGTGACACTACGGTACTACGGTACTGTGACAATAGCTTGAGATTCTGTCTCAAAAAAAAAAAAAAAAAAATGATGGGCAAATCCACACTGAATGCCTCATTGTTCAACTTTATCATGTTACAAAACCGAGGCTGCCATGTTGCAATTGTACCAGTAAAATTAACAATCCTTACAACTTGCTATAAAAAGTAGCTTTGGGCTCGGCGCCTGTGGCTCAGGTGGCTAGGGCGCCAGCCACATACACCTAAGGTGGCGGGTTCGAATCCAGCCCGGGCCTGCCAGACAACAATAATGGCTGCAACCAAAAAAA